ACAATTAACAGATTATCATTCTATGAGCAATATTAGATTTCCTTTGAAACTATATCCATACTGCAGGCCATTTTCCATTTAAAATAGCAATTTCACCATCAAGGTTTTAACGACTGATGTTTCGCATTTCAAAGGTTACTTTGTATCAGTTCGAGTACATGTCAATCTAAATTTAGTTAAACCTATTCTTGCCTGGCTATATGAATTCATCTGATGCCACGACTCTCACTATTTTATTCAATAAAGTTGATACCACAGGGTACCCAGTGAAGACTTTGTACCCATTCTTAACCATGTTTGTGTTCCTTGCGTCTTTGAAAGCCTCTGCCCTGTCCTGTATTTCTCCAACTGACAAGCATGTGTCATTTACCCCCTCTGTTACCCATGATAATTCCTGTCAAATTTAAGCCATTTTTCGCCTGACAACCTTAGTCCATTTCCCGCCTTACAAAGTAAGGTTATTTCCCGCCTGACAGCCTAAGGCCATTTCCCGCCTGACAACCTGGGGCCATTTCCCGCCTGACAACCTAAGGACATTTCCCGCCTTACAACCTGAGGCCATTTCCCGCCTTACAACCTGAGGTCATTTCCCGTCTGACATCTTAAGGTCATTTCCCGCCTAACAACCTAAGGTCATTTCCAGCCTGACAACCTAAGGCTATTTCCCGCCTTACAACCTGAGGCTCCCCCATAGAAACGCCACTGAACCTTACACCCTTTTCCATTCCACTATCAAATGATAAGCCTCATTCTTCCCCAAATTAAGACGTTACCTTCTGTTCTAGTGCTGGGTCAGTCTCTTGTACCAGTACTAATAGGTCGTAATCAAATATTCGGGAAGAGAATGAAGGTTTAATGGCTCGGAAAATCACACATACAAAATCATTATGTATCATTACAAAATGAACTCTATCAAAACATAATGAATTGAGTTGAATGAGCTCTTTCAAAACATCAAAAGACATCGTGCGAAAGAAAATTGTGAAAATTACCTCTCCGTTGGCCGTCTAGGAAACGTCCGTTAATTATTTATTTATAATTTACACAGGTAATAAGATATTCCTCTGATCACAGCGCACCTTACTTACTGTTTAGAAGAGGTGACCCGTAATACATACAAATTGTTTGAGGAAGGCATACAGGCCCGTAGCTGGACTTGATTATTCCGAGGGGCAAGTAGTATATCTGGAGGGGCAAGTAGTATATCTGGAGGTGCAAGTAATATATCTGGAGCGACAAGTAATATATTTTGGAGGGGCAAGTAGTATATCTGGAGGGACAAGTAGTATATCTGGTGGGACAAGTAATATATTTGGAGGGGCAAGTAGTATATCTGGAGGGGCAAGTAGTATATCTGGAGGGGCAAGTAGTATATCTGGAGGGACAAGTAATATATTTGAAGGGGCAAGTAATATATCGGGAGGGGCAAGTAGTATATCTGGAGGGGCAAGTAGTATATCTGGAGGGACAAGTAATATATTTGAAGGGGCAAGTAGTATATCTGGAGGGACAAGTAATATATTTGGAGGGGCAAGTAGTATATCTGGAGGGACAAGTAATATATTTGGAGGGGCAAGTAGTATATCTGGAGGGACAAGTAATATATTTGAAGGGGCAAGTAATATATCGGGAGGGGCAAGTAGTATATCTGGAGGGGCAAGTAGTATATTTGAAGGGGCAAGTAGTATATCTGGAGGGGCAAGTAGTATATCTGGAGGGGCAAGTAGTATATCTGGAGGGACAAGTAATATATTTGAAGGGGCAAGTAATATATCGGGAGGGGCAAGTAGTATATCTGGAGGGGCAAGTAGTATATCTGGAGGGACAAGTAATATATTTGAAGGGGCAAGTAGTATATCTGGAGGGACAAGTAATATATTTGGAGGGGCAAGTAATATATTTGAAGGGGCAAGTAATATATTTGAAGGGGCAAGTAGTATATCTGGAGGGACAAGTAATATATTTGGAGGGGCAAGTAATATATTTGAAGGGGCAAGTAATATATTTGAAGGGGCAAGTAATATATTTGAAGGGGCAAGTAGTATATCTGGAGGGGCAAGTAATATATTAGGGGAGGGATAAGTAATATATTAGAAGGGGCAAGTAATATATCCGATGGGGAATTGTTGTATGGTGTTTAGTTGCAGTAATGAAATAAGTCGGTTGTCAAATTTGTTTTCAGGGGGGAGGGGGTCAATTTTTGGGATGGGAAGACCTGTAGACCTGTACCTTTGGGAGAGCCAAAGATCTCCTTCCCCGAATTTCATTTTATTTTCCGATACAGAGTAAAATAGTTCTCTCAAATTACAAAAGTGGGATGTTTACCATCTTTAAGGCCCAGATAGTAAGAACATATTAACTTAATCAACAGAAATTTGGTAAGCTGTCTTGGACACCGAAAATTGAGGTATTAGAGCCGTCCAGACTAATCTCATTTCATGTCGTTCCACGTCCGTCGAAATTGGTTTTATGTCACACCATATTAAATTTTCACCAGTTGTCAACTAGAAAATTGAGTATTGAAGCGTGTTTTGGAGGTATTGTCGAGTGTTTCATAGTGAAAGGAAATGAAATATTCTCTATTTGTATGACAGATAATACGGTACGGCTAGACGACAAAACGGCTAATATATAATTTACTTGATGAAGTATCTGTTCGGGAGCTAGCTACATAATTATCCGTATAGAACTTGGACATACGGCTCTGACAGATACGATATAATGGTAGGGGCAACAGAGACCAATCTTATTCGTCAACCTTAGTCAGAAACCAGATGTATCAGTACTTTTATGAACTCTCCTGATATGAATGGAGATCAGAGTTGTAATTCACATTCGCAGGGTATAGAAATAATATTATTAATAAATAAACCAAATCCAATCCGCATGAAATGAATGAAACCAATTGGCAAACGAATTGGCAAAACATTGGTAACAGCTAATGAACTTTTCACCTGAGAAAGTATATCAATCATAAGAGAGTAAAAAGTTTATTAATGAAAAGTGGTATCAAGTGTCCAGAAGAGTCAGCATACGTGTATGATTATTAGTGTAATACACAAAGTTGATGGTAACCGTTTTAAAAGTCTAGTTTAGTATCAACAATTGTTTGCATAATACCGTATCTACAACCTTGTTACTTGTTGAATGCACAAAAGTCACAATCTCCACAAAATGGATTATTCAAAAAATAAAAGTCGACACAAAAACGTAAAGTGACACCCTCCTTCATGGTAGATACAATAGGGTAAGTAAATGGAACTTCTCAATGTAAAGATATAACGAATTCCGTCTAATAACTTGACATCATTTAGCACTTTTATCACAACATATCCTATTTGAAACTATGATAATCTATTTGAAACCATGGTAATCTAGACACTATGATAGCCTATTTGAAACCACGATGACATATTTGAAACTATGATAGGCTATTTGAAACCATGATGACATATTTGAAACTATGATAGCCTATTTGAAACCATGATGACATATTTGAAACTATGATAGCCTATTTGAAACCATGATGATCTATTTGAAACTATGATAGCCTATTTGAAACCATGATGATCTATTTGAAACTATGATAGCCTATTTGAAACCATGATGACATATTTGAAACTATGATAGCCTATTTGAAACCATGATGATCTATTTGAAACTATGATAGCCTATTTGAAACCATGATGATCTATTTGAAACTATGATAGCCTATTTGAAACCATGATGACATATTTGAAACTATGATAGCCTATTTGAAACCATGATGACATATTTGAAACTATGATAATCTATTTGAAACTATGATAATATATTTGAAACTATGATAATATATTTGAAACTATGATAACCTTTTTGAAACTATGATAATCTATTTGAAACTATGATTATTTGAAACTGCTATTTGAAACTATTATATCTTATTTGGAATCTCGATACAGCTTATGTTGAATCTATGATAATCTATTTGTGGTAATAACCTAGCCGTGTCAGACGTGTAATTTTCCTATAAACACTGTTTTCCTGTAAAAGACAAGCTTGTTGTATATCGAGATAATTACTTTGTCTGAACGTCAATTTCTGAATCATTTTTAATAACACAAGACAATGATATCTTTCAGCTTTAATGGAGGTATAAATACACGGTTTTAAAGTCATTACTTCGTGCGATATTTTTTGACACGTTACTTAACACGTATAGCCATACTTTCCCATAGGTAGATATAAGTTTGTAAGGATTACTTCACGGTATGATATGATATATATGCTATGCCTACACACTATGCTTTTTAGAACATTTTCATATTGATTTATTAACTGGTATTCAAAAAGTAGTCAATGGAATGCTGCAAATTTGTTTCTTACTGAATGTGGTTGTTTAATCACGAGCCATGCTGTAAGTTGGCATTTTGAACATACTGACTAACAAAAGTTTCATGTATCAACTGTAATACTTAATTTCCATGGAAGCATTGCTTAAAGGGACAGATGCGGCATTCTTGTTGACCAATCATATCTTAGTCTCGGAAACGGAAATCTTTTTTAGCTAAGTCAATCAGTAATAGTGTTCACAGCTAATCTTCGAAATTTGAGCCTTCAAATCCACGATTGTCCAGAATTATCCACGTTTTAATGTTAAAATGACGACTCGTCATTTTTAGATACTCTGTGATATATAGAAAAGAGAAATATACAAAAAGTGAGTAAAATTCATAGTTTAAGATATTTTCGAAGGAATTACATGTATACCATTTTCGTACATTTGTAGTACTTCTGAAGACTATTTACATATTTTCAAGTCTCGAATCAAACCCTGTAAGTAGTGCATCTGTCCTACATAGTGGCTGTACAGTGACGTACTAACTTCATATCGAAATCCCTTAAGTTACTTTACTGTTACTTTAATACCTAATTTCCTGGAACAGATTGCTTTAATAGTTATATAAAAGTATTACGTTAATTGGGAGATAAATGAAGGGTAATAGGAAAATTTGTCTTACCTGGGGGATTGCAAACAGCTTTAATAGATTAGCCACTTGAATAGAAGTGACACTAGACGGGGCCCCGAGCACTCCAGCAATTATTTTCACGTCGTTCTCTGGTAGAGACCCATCTCGACATTTATAAGACGATCCTCCAATATTGGCGATGGAGCCTGAAGTAGAGAAAAAGATGTTGATAATGATGAGTAGAATTAATAAGGATCTTGTTTATTATTGAGGATTACGTCAATATTTCGTATTCGCCCCAAAACTGGTCTGTGGGTATTGGGCCAGTTAGTGATTTAAAAGGTTATTAAGTCTTTTTCTAGACAACAATTTATTTACAGAGCGGAAAATAAGATTGTCGCGTTAGGTCATTTGTCTATACTTTGGTCAAAAGTAGGGGCTTTACCATTTCGCCATTATTGATTTCGAGGTTACTTTAGACAGGCCTGTGCAACCTTTCTACAACGGCGGGCCACATTTGGGGGATGCGAGTAGGCCGTGGGCCACGTAACCAACCATCAATAAATCATGGAATTAACAATGAGAGAAATGCATTTTTTTTTCAAGCCATTTATTCAATAACATATTTGTGCATTCCAAATAACAGACATATTTGACATAAAATCACTGTTTCACTCGACCTGGTTAACGATTTGATTGGTTAGATTCACTTTGACGTCACACTTTGATATAACAGCGCAAATATAACGGGTTTCGATATCAGAATGGACAGCGACAATCTGCGGGCCACACTGACAGTGACCAGAGCAAACGAAGCATTTGCTCGTGGGCCTCGTTTCCCTCAAATTTTACATAACGCCGAGCCGAGCCGCAGTTGGCCCGCGGGCCTTAGGTTGCACAGGCTTGCTTTAGACTACACTGCAGAAACCAAGATGGCTTTAGAACTTCTTTGGGAAGTTCATGCACGATGTGCGAATATCAGCATATGGCGCTTTTGTATCTAGTTAGATAATTTCATTTCAACAAACCTGGTTTATATCTCGATTGAAATAAAAAACCAACATTATATTTTACTAGTTCAAGACTCAGATTAGCGAACACACGAGCTGACGATGACCTTGAAGACATAAAACGTAATTGACAAACGTCGTTCAGCCGAATACAATTAATGACCTTGTTTGTGCGTAAGAGATAATAATATTGTAACATGGGTCAACACCGCCTGACCACTAGCTGACCAGCGAGTGACCAGTCCATCACAGCTCATCATGCCTAATGAAACAGTAAATTCGATTAGTAAAGTCAACCAGGCAGTATTTATTAAGCCAATATGTCATTGTGATGTGGCAGACTTTAATTTGTTTTCGGTTCTTGCCTATTCTTTGGACTCTGTGGTTTTTATGCTCCGAAGGCTTAAAGACAAGAAGGTCAAAGGATTCTGATCTAAATGGCAAATTTACAGACGTCATTTCCTTCTCACCTTATTTAAGGCTTGTGACGTTAACATTGATGTAAAGAAAGGAAGAATCGTTTCAATGACCATCATCTACGTAAAACCAAGCAAAGATGTTAACAAACTTAGGTTTCTGTTTTTTGTTTGTTTTTTCGATTAAAAGGCTAACATACATGCTCCGAGAATGTGGAAAGTAGAAATTGAGCTTAAATTGTCACTACACCATGATATCTCTTTAAGTCACGTAAGTTATCAAGGCTGTTTAAGAAACCACCAGAAAAGGTGTCTATACATTCAGATGGGACAATAAACCAAGACTCGCGCACTATAGGCTTTGCACGTTAAAAAGTTCCCTCGACAATTGGAAAAATATTAAAGAGTAGGCTAATGCCGCAGACCCGGCAGAATTTAGGACACATTGTGGTTGTCTTCACTAGCACTATCAGGAGAAAAACACCATTAGTTTCATTTTATTTGTAATAGAATTCATCAGAAAAAAAAATAATCCATTTGTGAAAGAATTACAGCTTTGATGTGATATAACATGATTGTGTTCTTATGTAATTCACAAACGAACATTAAGTTAGATCATGAACAATAACAGGTTTTATGGATGCTATTTTCTCAGTGTAAAAAAATAATTGAATCGTTTCGGATAAAACAATCAGCTCCTCGATTGAGTCATTTACAGTCTTACGGTGTATCAGCGGAATCGTCAAAAAGAAATAAAAAGGAAAACAATTTAAAGCAAGTATACAGCATTGAATTAAGTACAGCTTTGTGTGTTTGTAAGCGTAAAACAGGATAATATCATTGTCCTAAATGATAAATGACGCAATATATAATGAAAATTGGACTATAATGCACATAAAAAGCGTTCCTTCGGGCCTTAATTTAATGGTGTTTGGTAAGAAAAATTACATATAACGTGAATTGGACTGTAGTACACATCAATGATGCGTTCTTTCAGGCCTTACTTTGCTGAATTTCGGTAAAAAAAAAATTACATAACTTATAATAAAAATTGAACTGTAGGCCCTGTAAAAAGAGATGCGTCCTCCATATTTTATTTCAATAGTTTTTTGATAATACTTGACCTGAGTGATAGAATTTTAAGTTACAGAGCAGCTGGATTCTGCACTAGCTCCCTATGTTAGTATACATTATTTAAATGACATTTGATAATTGTGAGTTCGATATATAGTTGACACATCTTCTTGGAACAAAACTTCTTAGATTAAGTGTTATATGCAACTTTTGATCATTACATTCGACGGGAGAAAAGGGGGGAGGGTTGCATTAAACTTAAGCATTTGTTCCATAAATCTGTGTTTTTATAATAATTATGTTGATATATGGTATAGTATGGTATACTTAGCAATGTTCTAAGATTGATAGTAACCGGACCTGAAATCTAATACAGTGTATCATTCAGCTACTATTGTATAAGTGTATTATAAGAGGCCTTATCAGAGATAATGCAATTTGTTTCCATAATTCAAAGTTTTCTATCACTGGAGTCTATACAAAAACGAAACACACATTCTTTCTTTTTTACGTTTACCAGTGGAATGCTAAATGATTTGCCAAATTGAACCAATGTTTCATGAATACTGTGTATTGTTAACTACGTAGGGCATGTTCACTCATTCGGAACTTTTGGTTTCACTTTGTGATTATGTTTAGCTTCATATTTGGATAGTTCTGTATGTAGTGGACATGATTTTAAGTCGTTCAGGTGTCCTTAAAACGAAGAACATGGGAGATTAATGTCGCTGTTCTGGCAAAATGTCCCTAAATACGCTATGCATTTTGTCAAGTTTACTCTAGTTGCTGTTATTTTGGGATCTATTATCCCCTTAAGGCTATATAGACGACATGAAATGAAATGTGATATTTGGGAATTCAAATCCCTAAGGCAACGAAAAAGGTAATGAATACTATAACAGTTACTGTAATTGAAAAAGTGAGAACGGTGGAGATTAGCGTGTTTGTTCTTGGATTTGTATCTCAGTCGCATGTTTGACTGAATGAAGATGAGATCCTGTTTCAACTCTAAATCAATAGAGAAGTAAAGGAAAACACAGTAACAGAGCTAATTTCCTGTTTTCTTAGATTCCCATCAAGGTCAATAGCAGGAAATATAGAAATTATTAGCAATGAAGATGGAATATAATACTGTTAATCTCGATCTGTCAGGAAGAAGGTTATTTGGTACGAGCATTGCATGTAGAAATGCGACAAATATATTGAATTTTATACTATACTATACAGAGTAGTATTATATGACCTATGGGGAAAATATCCAGACTAAGCTGTATGCTTTCTCCAAACTGATGACGTGTTGACAAATACCCTACCCTACAAAACTAGCGAAATCCATAACTGCTCACATTCAGTTTTTTGAATTAGCTTAAAGATGGATTTCCTTATTTTAAAGTGTCAATTAAGCGAACTTTTTGATTAATTGGTGTTTGTAATGAATTATCTTGTATTCTTAATTCTTTCATTATGTTCTTATTGCACAGAGTTTTAACCAATCATAAATGTCCACGTATGTACAGTGTGGATAAACAAAAAAAGACTTTTTGACATTTCTTAATTGGTCACTCATTGGAATTTTGCTGGTATCTCTCTTCTAATTTAGTCAATTGTGAATTACTTATGAACATGTGAGACAAACTGGTCATTAGTACACGTACTTTCTATTAGTATAAGTATTAGAATTTTCATTTTGATAAAAGAAAATAAGGGAACCCATCTTTAAGGACAAATTCCAAAAGAGTAAAATCAGCACGTTTCCTAACTAATTAATTTAAAGTATAAGCCACTTTATGAAATGAAACTAAGTTGGAAACAGTTTTAAAACACCTTTTGTGACATGTGACATATTCATACTGAAAAAAAATAAAATGGAGTTTTACATCCTACTTTTTGTATTTTATTATGGAATTAATTAAACTAATGACCTCCCGTTAGAAAATGCTAAAACCCATTTTGAAACAGGTGCCATTTTTATTCTGAAACAAGCAGATAACATTAGCAACACTGTCAAGTCTTCTCTCGTGACGGATCGTTCACACTCTCTCATTTACCTCCAACCCATTTATATCCTGGCAATGTTTCGATGATTTGGTCCGAATTTGTATCAAGGGAAGATTGTTTATTACGTTTACTAATATTAGAAGCTGTGGTCGTATAATATCGGCGAAGATTTGGCTAATGAAAACGTCTATCTAATTATCCCCTAGTGGCAAGAGAAATTGACGACCATACACGTGGAACTAATGCTCCATTGGTGGAGTAATTATTTTACATTTTGCCTCCGATTTCATTGATATCTTGCATTAGCGACAGGCTCTACATATAATACATTTAATTACACCATACTAAAATATATCTATCGTATCTTACAATAATAAAATATTTATTATGTTATTAAAACATTTTTCTGGGGATATCTCTGAGAACTTGTATTAGCGTCAATTTCTTTATTACACCGTCCTATAATATATCTACAGTATCTTATGTTGTTACATTTTATTAGATTTTATTACATTCTTCTTTCGATTTCATTTCATTAACGTCAGTGTATACAACGAATGCTTCTAATTACACCGTTCTAGAATATATCTTCGTGTCTTTCATGTATATTGTCCTTTTAGAATTTAATTTGATTAAAATTTATTACATTATTATTACATTATTATTACATTCTTCTTTCGATTTCATTTCATTAACGTCAGTGAATAC